ATTCCCTCCAGGCACCGCTGGGCCCTGCTGCCTCTCTCCATAGGAAACATTAGCCCCTGCCTTCCTCAGGCTGGAGGCCCAGCGTTTCATTCCCCAGCACCCCCATATTAACCCTTCCCTGGGGTCCAGGGTTGGATCAGGCCTCCAATTAGATTCACGCAAGGATTCATTTCTCCTTCCGACCCGGGGGACGCTGGGCTCTGTTCCTGACTTTATCCCAGCATTCCTGGCTAATTAGTATTCCAAGGAGAGCTGGCTCCACAGGCCCCGGGAGTTGTTTGCCAGCCGGCCAGTTCCCTGTCTCCCCAGTTCAGAGTGAGTAATTCTGTCCCTCCCAGGCCCATTTAGGGGAGGGAATAATTAGTTACATTCAATTAGGCCTCGCTGCCACCACGGCTCCCGCCTGCCTCACTCGGGGGAACAGGCTCACTAATGAGACGGCACACGTCTGACACGGGGGAGCGGGCGTTAAACACCAACGACCCCCCACCCTCCCGAGGGCTTGGAGAGGATCGGGAGGGCAGGAGAGGAGAAACCGAGGATGGGACCTGGGGATGACGGCACAAGAGGAGGGGAGGATGAGAGAGGAGAAAAACAGGAGATGGGAGAGGAGGGGTAGAGAGAAAGAGAAAGCAGAAGAGGCACCGGGGAAGCAGGAAGGGAATCCAGAGGAAAAGGGAGAGAGAAGCTGCCTAGAAGTCCGTCAACATGGAGCCGTTGCAAGAATCAGGCTCCAGCCTACAATGGAATCCTATACAGCAATTAAAAAGCATGTTGTCGGTCTGTATTTATTGGCATGGAGAGATGGCTGCCATTTACTGCTAAGCAAAGAAGGCTGCTTACAAAACAGTATATATAATAATAGCCCAAGTTTAAAAAATATTTTTGGCACAGAAAACAAGTCTGGAAGGACCTGTAACTTGTGGTTGGCGGGGGAGGTGGGAAAGCTTACAGGTGGTCTTATTTTCCTGCGTATTGCTTGGATGGCAGGAGTGTGCAAGGCACAGGTCTGACTTTCATAATTAGCCAAAACAATAACACTTGCTCGAAAGAGAGCAAGGATGAAATGGAATTGCTGGGAGAAGGAAGGGACGTGGTTGGTCAGGGAGGGAAGCAGAAGCAGGGAGGGGTGGGGGATGAGCAGAGACTGCAGAAGGAGGGAGGGAGTCCTGGAGGGAGGAAGAGGCAGGGAGCTAGCTGGGTGCCAAGACCCAGCGGGATGTGCCAGTCAGCAGGGAGAAAGGCAGAGAGCCCCAGGGACAAGGAGGCGGACAGGAATACAGGAGCAGTGGCCCCGCCCCCAATCCTCCCCACCAAGGGTCCCATCTGCCTGGACAAAAGTTGCTCCCTGTCCTTGCTGAGCGCCCCCCCTTAACAGTGCCACGCATCCCAGATGAGCTCCCCTTATGAGCCTCGCCCATCCCCCAGACTCCTGAACCACAGCATGGGGTTTTTTTTTTCTTTTTTTTACAAATTAAAACTGTATCTCCTCAACCCTGCAGGTTGGTTTGTAATTTTCTGTGCCGAAATCGCTCTCGGGGAGAGAAATCCTTGGGGGCAGAGTCTTTAATAACTTCTGCTGCCCAAGGAATGACTGCAGGGCCCTGAAGGCTTAAGGATAGGGTATGTGCTTGCATGCCCGGGGGGGCTGGGACTGGGGGGTGGTCACAGAATTAAGAGGACATCTACACCCAGCTCAGCCCTAGAGCTTCGGTGCCTTAGACCCCCTTAACCAGGGTTGCATGGGTGGAGCCTAACCCCCCAGGGGCTCGCTCCTCCTGGCTGGGTGCAGGGGTGGCCCTGGACACTCTCAGGGCCTCAGTTTCCCCATAAATAAAACAAAAGGGTGGACGCGATGAAGTTCCCGGTCTCTTAATTCCAACCCTCTATGACATGCTTTCTTGGGCACTCATCAAGTTTTAAAATTTTTGGACTTGGTAGCATTTAAACAGTGGGAGTTTTCACATAGAAATCTGGGTCCCCAGTAAGACACAACTCTCATTCCTGCAGGGTGACCATTGGAAGGAACGCACAGACGCTGCTGCCCAAAGATGGGCAGAGCCTCACCACTTTGCCAGAGTCCCTGCCATCGTGACTTCTGACCTGGCCTGCCTTGCTCTCCAGCCCCCGTGCCGGTGTGTTCACAACCCCTGCTCTGAGCAGTCAGACTGTCTTTTAATGGCCTGTTAACATGTGCCTGTTTCCCTACTCGCTGAATGGATAAAAACCACAGGCTTTGGGGTGAACCACGTTAGGTCCAAATCGCGGCTCTGACTTTCAGACCTTTGCAAGTATTTTAGTCTCTGAGCCTCATCTGTAAAATGGCTGTTATAAGAGACTGTGCTTTCTGTCGGGTTGTCCTACGGACTAAGACGATGCACATAAAGTTCTTAGCACTGTGCCCAGCACACAGTGAGCACTCCATCCAGATGTGCTGTTTGTAGTGCCACTGTGCACAACCATGGCTCGGGCTGAGACCACAGGAGGAATGCAGTTGAAGCTTGTTAAGCGAAGGAAGCAGTGGGAAGGGAGACCTGGGCAAGAGACGGAGTTGCAGAGTAGAGGTTGCAGGTGGCTCGAGCCCTCAGGCCAATGGGGCGAAGGGAAGAAAGGCCTCACCCCCAACGTAAGGGCGGGACGTGGTGTGAGAGTGTGCAAAGCCCGCCACCAGGGTCTTCGGACGTTACCTTGGCACCACCTTCTGGCTGAGGTGTGCCTCACACCCACCCCCTCCATCCACAGGCCAGAGCAGACCTTACCATGGGTTCATCCTCTCCGTTCATTTTTAGAATTGGCAGGATTCTTAGCATTCCTAGGGACCCAGGGCTTCATCATGCATCTAGGGGGAAAAGGCCCAGAACCAGAGAGTAACTTTCCCAAGGTCACACAGAAAGTTCCTGGCTGAGCTCCATTTAGCACCCAGAACTTGCAACAGGGGCCAAGAAAAAGAACTCTGTCCCTTTGTCCAGGACACTGTGGCATGCAAAATTGTATCTTCTCGTGCATGAGCTCTGCTGACTCTTAGAGGAACTTCTCCCAGAAGCAGACTCTGCGACAAGGAAGGAGTGTGGGGGGTTTATTCAGGAGTTGAACCCAAGAAGCCCCAGTGGGGGCGTGAGACAGGGAAGGGAAGAAAGCCAGTGCAGAGGGGCAGTGGGGCTCAATCTGGGCAACCTGGGAAACAGTACAGGACACACCTCAGATTTGTCTTTCCCGAGGGCAAGGAAGCCAGGGCACTTATCCTCCAACTTTCATTCCTAGTGGGTTGCAAGTATCCCCCAGGTCCCTCTGATCTGCCGCTCGCCTGCACCAAGCATATTTTCAAGACCAGGGAAAGCCCCAAGGCAACCGACCCCACGTGCTTGCAATAGGAAGCTGACTGCTGATCTAGAAATGTGAATGCCAAGGGCAGGAGTTCTCAAAGTGTGAGCCCTGGGCCCGCAGCATCAGCATCACCTGGGAAACTTGTGAGAAATGCAAATTCTTGGGCCCCACCCCAGACCTACTGAATCAGAAACACGGAACTGGGGCCCAGCCATCTGTCTTTGAACAAGTCTTATGGGGGGTTCTGACACGTGGACAAGATTGAGAACCTCGGACCTGGGAGAAGACAAAGGAGGCCTCGAATCACCTGCTATGGTACCGGCTCCATTAGCCAGCTGAGGAAACCGAGCAGCTAAGAGGCAAAGTGACCCATCCGAGGTCACACAGAGAACAGGTGGTCGAAGTGGGTCTTTTGCCTCTGTCCGCCATGCACGGAAATGAGTAACTTTCCCTACTTGGTCGTAAATGAGCAGCATTTGGACTCTAGGTGGGGGCCGAGGGGGAGGTCTCAAAGCTCCCCTCCCCCACAGCGCCACCACTTTCCTCCACTTTCTAAACCAAATGTCTCCCCCTGGTGCATCCAAATGGTTCTCGAAGCTCTTCTGGGAAGCCTGCCAAGCCAGGTGCCCCTCTCTTGGCTCCCAGCTGCCCTCACAGCCTCCATCCGGGACAAGCCCTCTCCACCCCCACCCTCCAGGCAGCAGGACACATTGGAAAAGTCCAAAGCAGCTTCTTTGGGGGGAATGGCTGAGATCCCTGGGTTAAACCAGCCTGGCCTCATCCTCATTACGAATCTCAATCTTTGTGCCGCCGGGGCTTTGCGTTGCTCTTCCTTCTCCTCCTTGTCCTACAACCTTCCTCCCCTCCCCTCTCCTCCCCTCCCCTCTGCTCCCACTCCATCTGCTGCTCCTCCTGGCTAGGCTCCCCCTCAGTTGGCACAGCAGGAAAAGAGAACAGGACGGTTTATTTTTATCCTAAGATACTGCTGGCGGGGAAGGGGGCACCATCTGACTGAGAAGCTGCAGCTCCGTTAGCAGTTGGGAGGTCAGAAGGAGGAGGCAGGCCCAGGAGCTCCCCAGGAAGTAGCTCTAGATGTAGGTTCCAGAGAGCACGCAGGTCTGGGAGAAGCAGGGCAGGACCAAGAGCGGAGAGCTCTGGACACCATTACAAATTGCTGTGTGACAGTAGGCAAATCACTTGACCTCTCTGGGCCTCCATTTCCACCTCTGTTAAAGAGGGAGGGAAGGCTGCCAGCCCTGCCTGCCCCAAAGGCTGTTTTTGTGAACAGGAATCAAACGGAGAGAACCCTTTGCAAACATGATGTCAAATATGAGCACCCATGGAAACCGCCCTGGTGGGATAGCAGCCTGGGGTCATTCTTATTTATCCTCAGAAAGTGCCCTGATTCTGTGAGCCTGACAGCACGTTAAGCAGCTCATGTCACCCAGCACATCCACCCCCGTGTTTCTTTTTACATGTTTGATGACTTTTTAATTACATAAGCATTATGTGAATTCATTCTCCTCTTGGGGAAAAAAAAAATGAAGCATTATGGGAAAGCCAAATCTTCCTTTAACCAACCCTCCCCCGACCTTTCTTCCCCAACCCGGACATTACAACTCTTCCAGCTGTGCATTTTCTGCTTATCCTTCCAGATTCGTGGTTATACCGACACATAGAATCTCTATTATGTTTATACACATATCCATGAACAATAATATCATATTGTATTGGGGTATAAGCTTTTAAAAAAAAAGTTTCCGTACCCATCATTCTGCAACCTGCTTTTTTTTTCCCACAACAGTTTTTGAGATCCCGTTGTATAAATATATTATAATTTTATTTAGCCAGTCCCCTGTTGGTGGACAGTTCAGTGAGTTCCAGCTGTTCACAAACACGCTGCTCTGGACGTTTGTATATATGCCTCCGTGGGCTCACAGAAACCACGATGAGACGTCCTGTTGCGTGAGAGGGTTTGGCGGCTGTTACTATACGGCCCTCCAAGAAGTTTTGCCTCCATCTTTAAAAGCAAGTTGGGAGATCGAATGAGCTCCAGGGCGGGGGTTCTCCGAGGTGAACTGTTTCTGAACCGCAGGGGTGCAGGCAGACCGGGGATATGCCCGGCGCCAGCTCCTCGCCCTCAACCGCAGCCGCAGCTCCCCGCCACGTGCCCACTGGCCCGCGCTGCCATGCTCCTGGACACGCACAGCCTCACTGTCTCTCCTGCACCGAGATGCGGCTCTCTTTGCCGTCCTCCTGGGTGACTGGCTGGCACCCATGTAAGGTCTCCTGCACCGGAGCAATGGAGTGGGGTCCAGGAAAATCATCCGGATAAACCGTCTCCACAGGATCCTGCCATCCAACCTTACGGTGGAGGGCCTGGGGAGCCAAGACGTGAGGTTACTCCCAGCGGCACCTCCAAGGAGCCCTCCCCTCAGGAGCAGAGGCCCTGCAGAAGCCCTGTCCCCTTTCCCACACGGACGCTCAGGGCTGATTCCATGGGTGCCTCCTGCCCCCTGCTGGCCACACCAAGGGTGTCAGGAAGCTTCCACAGTGGGAGCCAGTGGGTTCAAGGAGCTGCCCCTCCAGGCCCCATCCATGGACCCCCAAACAAAGGCCCCAAAGATAAGGGTCCTCATGTACTGAAAGCCAGAAAAGAACAACAAATATCAGATTTTGCCAACTGTGCCGGGGCAGCCCTGGGAGGAGGTGAGCTCTGGAGATGACAAAGGCTGGTGCCCAGGGACCCAACAGGAGGAGCCCTGGAACGCAGCATGGGGACAGAGTTCTGCTGTCACCCTACTGGCCGCAGGGACAGACCCTGAATCAGTTTAACTGCCATATAGGCAACAATGAGTCAATCTTTCTTTCTGGTTTGCTGAAACTCTGTTCTGGTTCCCAGGGGTGACCTACCTTATTTTCTGGCTCCTTGGCCACCTTTCCTAGAGAGAGAAAAAAAAGGGAATGGGGAGTTGGTGAGGCCACAGGCCAAATCAGGAAACAGGTGCAGTACCTTATCCTCCCTCCCTCCCTCCCGCCCACATCACCTCCCCACCTGGGCACTCACTGATACAGGCAGACAGCAACAGGACAGCAAACAGGACCCCCATCGTGATGGGGATCACTACCAGAGCTCTCATCCGATTCCGGAAACCTGGAAAAATCGAGGCTTCAGCGATGGCTCCCCACCTCCATGCCCGAAGCAGCTGCACCTTGCCGGACTGAGCTCATCTACATCAGAGGTTTCAAACAGGGGGCCCTGGTAAAACGTGGCTGGCAGATGTCTTAGTGTGACCGGCACATTTAAAAAGAGTTTTGAAATATTTGCCAACATTTTAAAATTGGGAGATTGCATATTTAAAATCTACATATCTGGTTTCTCTTAGAAATTTAGAAGATCTGGCCCCACTGGGCCAGCAGCCCCACCTGGCACCCACCGGCCTGCACCAGCTCAGCACACTCCCCACCCCTCCCTACTCTCTGCCCAATGCTGAGGTCCAGCATCGTTTATGTCTGCACTGTTGCCTTTGTTATAGAAAAATGGAGGGGAAAGGAAAGTATTTCTTGAACCTAAGTCTCTATTCTCCATGGGAAAATGAAAGAAAGACAAACAGGCAGGTCAGAGACTAGGGTGAGGCCAGTGAGACACTCACCTCGGGACAAAACTTAAGGGGACACAAAAAACTCGGTAATCAAGATACACAATATTTTAACGTCATGTTTTGAAACATCAGATCAGCAAACGATGGCTCATAGGCCAGCCACCTGTTTTTTAAATAAAGTTTTATTGGGACCAAGGCTGGGATTAGGATGAGGTGGGTGAGGCAGCGTCACGCAAGGGCAGGGTCAGATCCGGTCTTTAAGTTTTGATATTTTGTTCATTATGGACTTTTTTGCATTAATTTTTATTTTTTTAAAAAAATACGGCATCAAAATGTTGTTTATCTTGATTACTGCATTTTTCTGGCACCCCCTTAAATATTGCGCCCCAGGTCAGTGCCTTGCTCAGCTCACTTGAGTCCCAGCCCTGCCAAGAGGAAAGCAAACTTTAAGAAAAAGCAAAGAGGGTGTGTTTTTCTTACTTCCGACCTTTTCCATTTATTAACATGACCTGCCTAGTCCCTATAGTTATTTGAGTCTGTGATCTGTGCTATCGGGCAACCTCCTCATTCTAAAATCAAAACTGAGGCCTTGAGAGGAAACAGCATCACACCATGCTGGTAGTCGAAGTGCAGGGTGGCACGACAGCACTGACGGAGCATCTCCGAGGTGCAAGAGCCCATGCCAGGCACTTACACCAGCCTACTAAGGGTGGCACTATTAGCATCCCATTTTACAGATCAAGAAACTGAGGGTCAGAGAGGGGAGATGACCTGCCCAGACTCCACAGATAAGTGGCAGAGCTGGGATGCCACGACTCCAAACTGCCTCCTCCTGTCACTTCAACTCCCCTCCCTCTTTCCCCACCAGGTGTTTCTGTGTGCCTCAGTCTCCCCCTCAATTCGCCACCCTCCTAGCCTGCTGCCGGGGCCCATTCTCCAGGACTCACCACAAACAGCATCAGTCTTGTTAGTCCCTGCCTGTAGTTCCACCAGGCCTTTGGTATCACAGCTGTGTACAGACACATGTGTGCACACGTGCACACACACACACACACACACACAGAAAGAGACATTAAGTTTCCCCAACCAAAATATTTCCAACCCCAAACAGAGATAGTCAACAACCAACAAGTCCAGGTTCGCTGAGCAGCTATTATGTGCAACCTCCTACGCTGGTTATTATGGGAATAACACAGACTCTGTGCTTAGGGAACTCAGGGGTGCAGAGAAAAGATTGTTGCACATCTTGAAGGAGTAATAATCGGACAGTCTCTAATGAGTGCCAAGTTTTGTGACAGAGGCGAAAGTGAACTGGGAACTGTTCAGAGAAGGGGAGACAAAGTCCACAATGGCTGGAATGGAGAGATGAGTTCAGCTGCATAATTCTCTGTTATCGGGGCTGTCCTGTATACCACAGGATGTTTGGCAGCATCCTTGGCTTCCACCCACTAGATGCCAGTAACATCCTTCTCCCTAGTTGTGACAACCAAAACGTCTCCAGATATTGTCAGATGTCCCCTGGGGAACAAAATTGCTCAGCTGAGAACCTCTGGTTTAAGGGTCATTCAGAAAGACTTCCCTGGGGAAGTTAGATCTAAGTGTACCCTGCAAGAAGTAAAATTTAGAGCAGCAGTACATTCTAGCTAAGCAGGACAACGTGATGCAAGGGATTAGGTTGGTGGAATGCCAGGTGGTGTTCGGGAGCTACGGAAAATTGGTCCTTTAGAACCAGATCACTGATAATCAGCCTGGAAGGTTTCGACTGGAGTCAGCGGGTGAGTCACGTCAGCATCCAACCAGATGACTTCAGCAGTGAGAGGACTCAGCTGACCAGAGAGCTCACACGAGGAGAAATTGCAGCAAAGCGGCCACCAGAAGGCCACTGCGGGAGCTGAGATATGAGATGAGGGAGACCCGGTCCAGGGTGGTCCCAGAAGGAGTGGGGAGGCACAGACAGAGAAGGACACCCCAGAGAAAAAAACAACTGACGTGGAGAAAGAGAAAGAAGCTTCAGAGAGAGCACATGCATGAGAAGAGTCTTACATGAGAAGAGAGCCCAAGAGTGTGCAAAACACTTTCACCTGCCATTTCCCCAAGCATGTGAGATGAAGGTCATTCCCATTTTCCAAATGAGGACACCGAGGCTCAGAAAAAAGGGGGTCACACACTGACACAAACTGCACCCTTTCTAAACTGCAGTGAGGGTGGAACCCGGCACTCTGATTCCACTACACCAAGGTGCCTGCAGTTATCACTCAACATTTGTTGAGCACCTGCCATGCATCGGGCACTGTTCTACGCTTAAGGGATACACCAGTGGAAGAAGAAAAAAAGCCAAGTCTCTACACTGAAGGGGATTGCAATCTACTAGAGAAAGGCAGACAGTACAAATAGCAAAGTATATATGGGACACTACTATTTGTATGGATGCTGTGTGTGTCTGTGTTTGCATGTGTGTGCATTTATTTTTTTTGTACACAGAATCTCTGGAAGAACACACAGGAACACTGGCTGCCTCTAGGGAGGGGAGGGTAAAGGGAAGACATCACAATAGGCCCTTTTGTGCTTTCTGTCCCATGTTCCTGTCTTATCCATTTTTTAAAATTCAACATAAAAAGTTAATTGGGTGTGTGCGTAAGGGTACTCCAGGCAGAAGAGTTTGATGCAAGAGAAGGAACAGTGTGTTGAGGGGATTGCACAGAGCAGGATGTGGGAAGAGATCAGGAAATGGAGCTGGAAGATCAGAGGCCACATGCAGGAGCCTGGGTTCCATCCTAGAGGCACAGAGAGCCATGAAGCATTTTAAATAGGGAGTGCTGTGACCCAAACTGAGCTGTAGAAAGCTCACTTTGGCAAGAGAATGGAAAACCCGCTAAAGGGGAGAGACCAGAGGCCGGGCAGCTGGTGAGGGGGCTAAAGCATCATCCAGACCGCGTTGATGAGGCCCAAACTAAAGTGGGGACAGTGGAGATGCTGGGAAGGAGAAGGAATCCCAAGACATTTGGAAGGCGAGATGCCGAGGACCTGGCAACTGATTCAGGGTTGGGGGGGCGGGGGGAGAAAGAGCAGAAGAGGGGTAGAAAGAAAGTAAGAGAGGTGTCACAGTGCCCCCAAGAAGGCAAGATGGAGAGATCAACAAGTGTCTATTACCACCAAGAGAGAACAAGCAAGAAAATACTGAATGGTGTCCATCTGGTCGGCCACGAGGTCACTCTAGAAGTTCTACAAGTGCACGAGTGTGTGTGGACCTGGGGAGCAGGGGCTGAAGGACAGGTGGCTGGATAGAATGGAAACAGGTCCCACGCCCCTCTTGGGGCAGGAAACACAAGGGATGAGTCCTTATACCTTGTCCAAGGGTGACACTTTTCCAAAGCAGATGATACTTTGGAGAAGAAGCCGACTGGGCAGGGTTCGCAGACGGTATCCGAAACCCCTGTGGCTGGGAGGGAGGAGGAGACATTAATCATCCCAAGGACCGCCTGTCTGGCCCTCAAGGGAACCGGTGGACAGACAGGGCAGGAAGAACCGCCTGCTTTAAGGACTCTTCCCCCTGCATAATGCTCTCCTGACTGCTGCAGCCCCTGGGAGGGCTCCTCCCACCGCCCTCCCCAGGCAGACACCCATGGTGCGAGGTGGAACCAAGAAGGTTCCATTTCCTGCTCACTCTAGCAGAGATTCCCACATAGGTTAGCGTCTCCATCCCCTCCGCCTCTGGGGCTGAGTGCCCACTGCCCAGCCCCTCACCTTTGGCCCTTGGCTCCTCTCTCCTGCCTCTAGAGCTGATTCCCAGACAGGCCACTTACCGAGCTGCTTGACCCCAAGACCAGGGGCGCACGGGCTGTGCAGGATGCAGCTTTCACAGGCATCGCTGGAACAGTGTTGGCCCTCATGACATATGCAAGTGGCGTCTGTTGTTGAGGTGCCTGTCCCCTGGACCTGGAGGCCTAGGTCTGAGCAGAGACAGGTAGGAAGGATGGGAACCCTTTGCTGGTCGTGCTCAGGGCCCCGCTCCTCACCCTTCCTGCTATTTTTCCTTAGACCCTCTTCCAAGTAGGGATGACAAACAAATTATTTAGCAACCAGTACAACTCAGACTCCAACCAATCAGAATGGACCGTGGCTATAAAAAAACCAGAATGGCTACACGGTCAGGAATGAGCTGGAATATCAGTCTGGCTCCCAAGTGCCCCTTCCCCAGCAGCCCACGCACTGGGGTCGCAGTATTTGTGCTGGTGACAGCGGCTCTCTCTGTTCCAGGTGTCTAGGAATTCGCCTGCACCGCAGGGAGAGCATTCTGTTTCGGTGATCCCTGTGCAGTCATTCACCAGTTTCTTTCCTGGAAAACATCAGGAAATGAGGCAGGTCCAGCCAAATCTAATGAGTCAGACACTTACCGAAAAGTGATCAGGCTGGGCTTTAGGGCGAGGGATTCAAAGCTGACAGTCTCGGACCCTTCCAGCCTTCATAGTCTGGTGGGGGACATGGAAGAGATAGGAACCCTAGTCCTGGGTAGGCAGAGAGGGAACCCAGAACATTCTGACAGCCCCAGGCAGGAATGGGAAATCCCAGGGATGGTTTATGACTCAAGTTTATAGTTGACACAAGGGGTCTGCATCTGTGAGCAGACCAAGAGGGGTCCCACTATAGAGCTAGAAGGTTGGCATCTCACCTGGCGGACACAAATCACAGCAGTGACTGCCAGATAGGTATTGGTTTCCTTTGCATGCAGTGGCTTGTTCTGGATGGACCTAAAAAGAGAATTGGGCAATTTGAAGGGATCTTGAAATCTCTGCTGTAGCCTCCCTGGCAGGAAGGTGAAAATCAGCCAGGACAGAGGTTAGAACTGAAGTGGAAGTGCTAAGCAGAAACATGGAGGCTGCATATTACTTGGTATCTTTGTTTGTAACTGAACTGCCAATTGGTATGATTACAAAAGCACCAGAGAATCATCCTGGTACTCTACAAAGTGATTGCCCTGGAACCTCGCAATAGTCTCTGAACTAAAGAGATCTTCCTTTTGGCTTGATTCCTGAGTCCTTCCTCTTCCCAAAGACCCAAAAGCTCATGAGGACTCCAGTACCGCCCCCAGAGTACTGAGGCTGGCTGGCTTCGGCTGGTCCTAGTCCTGGCTGGGGCTATATTTAGCACCTGGCCTCTTCCTTCTAGACTTCTGCTCCCCACCCTCTTCCCCTCTCCAAGCCTCAACATGTTTTCTCCCTCCAGCCCCTCATCATCTGATCATCCAACCCCACCCTCGTGAAAGGCCAGGATTGTGAAGCTCCAACTCTTTCAATTTACAGATGGCGAGACCAAGGACCAGGGTCACTTGCCCAGGGTCACACAGAGATAGAATCCAGAATGAGAATGAGGACTCAGGTCTCACTACTCCATCAACTTGGGTCTCACCTGCACTATTTTTACTACATCCAGGTCCCACCCATGCTATTAATTACTTCCTGTTACTCTAAACACATTTATTTTAAATGTAAACCTTCTATCATCGAAATGAGAGAAGAACCAGTATCACTTCTCATAAATAAAAGGTAACCCTAAAAATAAATTCAACAGAAACAAAACCATATTATTAAACTCCAGCTGGCTGCTTGGCTTGCTGACAGCCCTCTGCCCCAGGCCTGCTCTTGATTTTCGTTTAAAAAGGAAGATTAGTAAGCGCTCGAGGGGTATTAACTTTATTCTATCTCCAGTGACTTCCTCTTTGAAAAACTGAGAAGGATTTTAAACAGAACTGTAAAGTAAATCTATGTTGTTTAGTTCCATAGCTATATACTCCCTAAAATCTTCCCACATTTTGGGAACAACCAGCGAAAAGAGCACAAGTTTGAGAGCCAAACAGCTTAAGGCTCTGATCTTGACTTGGTAACACTTGCCAGTTATCTTGCTTCTCTTGGCCTCAGTTCTCACATCTCTACAAGGGGAGTAACAATACCTGCCCCACAGATTAGGTTATGAAGATGAGAAAGAATATATGTATACGGCCTGGCATAGCGTCATAGTAGGTGCTGATTAAATGGCAGTTTTAATTATCAAACCTATGTGAGTATCTACTTGGATGCCTAGCACCCTGGTTAACTGGCTGACTGGCCAGGATCCTGCCTAATTGTGGCTCTCATTCACCCTGGATGGGCAAATTACTTACGGAAATGTATCTTACCCCAAATGGGGAAGGAAGTAGAAAAGGCTGCTGCCCCCACCATCATGTCACAAGTCACCATCCTGTGAATGTTCGCCTTGCAACCTTGTGTACCTTCCCACCGCGCTTCCAGAGCAACGAAAGTCCTCCATGCCTTATTCAAACACACGAGAAATAGAGCTCCTCCTCTGAGAGTCTGTCAGTCCCCACTTCCCACTCTATAGCTCCCGGCCTTCTGACACAAAGGAGCCCAGGACCAAGGCTTGGAGACCCCCATCATCTGAGAGGCAGGCTCAGGAATCAGGCAGATGTACATTTATATTCAGGTTCCACCTAGCTAGGAGAATTTTGGCAAGACATTTTCTCTCTCTGAGCCTCAGTTTACTCATCTGTATAACAGGGGAGTTGAAAGAAATCAGACTGAGAATGCGTGTAAAGAATTTTGCCCAGAGCCTGAAACAGGAAGCTCTCAATAAATAGCCCCTGCTATTGTTGTCACAGCCCAGCGTCTGCCTGGAGCCAAAATTGGAAGCATGCTCTTGAGAAGCCCAGACCTTTTTTCACCCTACCTCCCTTAGCTCTTCTCCGACTCCTTCCCACAAAAGCCCTCTTCCTCCTCCCTCCAGCTCCACCCTCTTCCTGCCTCCTTTCTCCCTAAGAGCCAATGCTTAGAATGAAAATGAAAGTTCTGGGACCAGAGCAGCTTCCCCCACTGACTCTTCCCTTACTGCCAATTCCCCACCACATGGGTCATTCCTGCCCAGACTTCATGCCAGAAACTACAGCCCTCGAAAGTAGGGGGAGGCCAGAGGGGTTGGCATGAGAGGGTCAGATACCTGGGGGATTCCCAGCCTCCTGAATGAGGAACTACAAAAATACATTTAAACAAAAAGTGAGTCAAGTGTGGGCTTCTGAAAATCCCGGAGATACGCTTGGCTGGGCATATCTGAGCCCTTCTGGTTTCTGGAGAAACCCTTGCTGGTCTCCTAACCCTTTCTTGGGTCCTATGAACTGTTCATTTCCCCCAGGGGTTCCCTATGTCATCTTAAATTCAGCAGGCAGTGACAGCCTTGGGTATTCTAACTAGATTGGATCACCCTGAATTTGGGGGGGGGGGGGGGGGGAGCAGTGTTAAAAGTGTACCTTCTCAAAGAAGTACCTGGGCCTCTCCACCCACCCCTTGTTCCCACAAGATGCCCTGGAAGCAAGCAGCCCCAGCTGGCAAGGAGATGATAACCACTCACAGAGGCTGGCATCTGTCCACAACGAGAAAGAGACAGGAAATCTGCCGGACCCGCCCCTTCCCTTGGCCGGCCTCTCTTCCCACTTCCGAAACCCCTCAGCAGTCTCTGTGTGTCCAGCCTCTGAGGCAAACCCAGACTCCAGCCTTTCTACCAAAGGCTTAAGGCTCCCAAAACCCCACCCCAATCTGCGCCTTCTGTGCACGTTTCCTGCTGTGCCCCGACTACGACGCGCCCTCGGTGGGCTACCTGAGATCCCAACCTGGGAGGAGAGAAAGGCAGCCCACCTCATTCAGCCAGGACCCTGGTACCTTACCCAGCTTCCACGCACCCTCTTATCCCCCCAAAATCAACTAAGGAGGTCCCTTCCCCGAAGTTATTGCTTCTCTTCCCATTCCCCACTCTCAACTCCCAAACTCCCCGGTCGGGTCGGAGCAGAAACTCAACTCACGGGGGTCAACAAGCAGCCCCAGAGGAGACACTGCAGAGGCAGACGAACCATGGCGAGGTGAGAACCAGGCGGCGGGAGCGGAGGGCGCGAGGACCGGGCCTCTAGTAACTCCCCTGCCCCAGCCCGTGGCCCCGCCCAGGAAGGGGGCGGGGTCTTCGGTGGACCAATCGCGGCCACCCTCGCTGAGGGGGCAGAGCTTCAGGCGACTCCCTTCCCTGGGATTTCCCCAGGACTTTCTCAGGAGTTCAATTTCCCCAGGAGTTCAAGGGACGCACTTTGGGAAATGGGGGGAGGCAAGGGGGATGGTGCCAGGGAAAGTCCTTCCTCCTTGCATTCTGAGACTACAAAGGCCAAGCCGAAGAGGGCAAGGAGCCAGCTGGCTTCCAGCGGGGACTAAGGGAGGAAAGAGACCTGCCCACGGGCGCTGGGAAGATGCCACAGGGACCCCCACGGTTCTCCCCCGCCGACTCTGGGAATCCCGGCAGAACCGAAAGCGTCTCCATCGCCGATGGAGAGACCTGAGGAAGTTCCCCCCATCCCAGAAAACAGGAAGGTCTCAGCGGGGAATGGGAAGGGGGAGGGCCGGGGAGGTGTTTCAAGGGAAAGAGTTTCCCAACTTAGAGTTTCTGTCTCTTTCAAAGGAAACTCCCTCGCAAGGGCGCAGCGTCCCAGCCTCCCCATCCTTCCATTCATCCATCCATGCGTCCCCACCAGATTCTGTACCGTTCCGGTTCCCATCCGGCACCTGGAGACAGGCGTTTGGAGTACGTCCCTTTTGTGGGATCGTCGGACATCCTTGAGAGTCTTGAGACACTGGGGACCCTCTCCTTCTGCAGAAATACACACACCCTTGTGCATACATTTCCCGGGTTCCCAGCCCTTGGCCCCATTCTTGAGCCAGTGTTAGCACTCTCTGCAGTATAGGACACCTGGGTTCTGGTCTAGGCTCCGCCTCTCATGGGCTGAGTTCCCATGAGCCTCAATTTTCCCCCAATGAAACCTGAAGAGCTTGAACAAGACAGTGGTTGAGGTGCTGACCCTCTAAGCTCTGAATTTCTGGGCCAAGCCAAAAGGCCAGGCTGCGCAGATCAGGGAGGATGGGAGAGGAGGGAGCCGCTAACATTCTGGCTTCTGCTGCAAAGGGCGTATTTGCAGCCCTGTGGATTCTAACCTCTAGAATCCATCTCCTCTTTTCCATCCTCTCTGCCACTCCCCTAATTCAGAGGCTCATCCTCTTTCACCTGGGCTGTCTCAACAGCTTCCCTCATTCACTAAGTGCTTTTTGAACCCCCACTATGTGCCAGGCAACCAACACTTTCCATCTCTCTCTCATTGTTCATACCATTGCAGTGCTCTTTGTAAACCCCAGATCTGATTTGATCCTGGCACTTCACTGCTTAAAAACCTCTTTGGGCTCCCCTACACCTTCAGGATGGTCCCGACCCCTTCTCCTGGCACAGCAAATCCTTCTCTACTCAGCCCCAACCTCTCTCCCCACGCTCATTCCCAGCCATGTCCTCCCATGCCTACTGGCTTCAGCCAGGCTTGCCTTCTCCTCATCTCCCAAACGCACAATTGTTTTTTCTTTTACTGTGTCTTGCTGTTTCCTTCCTTCCCTTCTCCTTCCTGGAATCAGTTTAAATTTCACCTTTGCTTTGGTTAAGCCTCCTCTTAACTCCCTGAGACAGAGGTAGGGATGCCACCCCAGCTTAGCTCCTCCCCCTGTTTCCACAGCATTAGCATGCTGAACTGGATCTCCATCTGCCTGGCCCCATTGGGTTGTGAGCTCCTGGAGGGCAGGACTGAATCTCTCCCAGTCCTGGGCACATAATAGGACACCAGTACACGTTTGCTGAATGAATAAATCAATGAGTGAGTTCGTTCAACAACTTCTCCTTCTAAGCCTGGCCTCCATCAGGAAGGATGTAGGGGCAGGAGTTGCAAATCTGGTGGTCATAACACAGACCTCAAGCTGGTAGTCAGACACTAATCATCTGGGAACACTTGAAATCAGAGTCTAGGGGACTTCAGGAAGGCCACTCAAACATGCCTGGTATGAAGAGAAACATTAAAATATCTTTTCCCTTTTTAACCCACTTCGAAAAAAACAAGCACAGTTTTAATTCCTTTGGGAGTGGGGGGGCGTTACTATAATAACTTCAGCCATTACTTATTCTTTATTTGCTTGATTCCAAAATTGGGCCCTTCACAAAACTGCCTTGGGAAGCAAGTACACAGAATTAAAACATTAATTATATTGTATTATATAAAACATATCATAGCAGCAATTAAAGCAGCTTAAATTAATATGTGAAAGAATAAATAGTAGCCTTTGGGTTGCCCCATGGGGCGAAGACCAGATGAGATAAAGGGAAGATATTTTAGTGTATGCATATCCTGAGGAGACGTGCTGGCAGGCACAGGCCCAGGGAAGGCAGAGAATCTTCTTGGGCTGAGAAGAGTATGCTGGAGGAGGAAAGAGAGAAGATGATTTATGGGGAGGGTGGCAATACTTCAGAGTCCCATTAAAGAGGGGAACTATGAAGGATTCAGTGATGAGAGTAGGGCAAAAAACATTCAAGAGTAGGATTTTGGAATCACAGAGGAAATGGCCTTTGTAGCGAGGGTAGGGTCACAGGGCCAAGTGAATAAGTGAGAAGTGTGCCAGAATCTGACAACCAGATGGTTCTAATATGCAAACCTGATTGTGTTGCTCCCAGGTTTGAAGCAACTCCCTGCTTCTTAAGCTCACAGGGCCTCAAGGCCATGGACTTTCTGGCCTCCATCTCTAACTGTCCTTCCTGCCTTCGACTTGCTGCTCCAGACTGTGCCGTCATCTCTGCCTGGAGAGCCTTTCTCCACTCTCCTTTCCTCGAACCAACTCCTTCTCATCCTTCAAGACTCAGCTCAGGCGCCCCCTCTCTGGAAAGCCCTCTCCAACAGCCAACCTGAGATGTGCACACCTACCTCCCCATGCCCCCTCAGAACCCTGGGGCTGCTTGCCTAAGCAAGACTCCAGCCCTACCAGCACTCTAGTTCAATTATTCTGTTTACTTGCAGAGTCAGTGTATTGAGGTGACTCAAATCAGTGGGGCATAATAATGAAGCTTTTTTCCCCTAATCTCTGCCTTCAGCCATGCTGTGTTGTATCTCCCTTTTCCATCCCTTAATGACATCTTGGGCAGATTGCATTACTGTTGGATCACTTTCTGTTGTTAAACCTCCCTCTTTGAAAGCTTTATTCTCAAACTCAATTTAAATCTCATTTTATCTTCTCCCTTACTCATCCAAGGATTGACTTGAGCCAAGATCCTGCCTGCTTGGATAAAAAGTGGGGGGAGGGGGACATGGCCTGTTTGGGAGACATGCCCCAGCACCCTCCCCTTTACTGAACTTGGGAGGAGGAAGTGGGACTAGCCCTCTGCAATACCCCTCTCCCTGTTGGTTGATCTTGCTTCCCTGGCTAACCCAGAGTGGCAAGTGTTCACATATGGTTTCTCAGGGGCACGTGGTAAGTTTCTTAGGGGCTTCTCCACTACACAGTTCTCGGACAGGGGCCATCGTGACAGGCTTGAGCCCCCCCCCCCCCCCCCCCCCCCCCCCCCCCCCCCCCCCCCCCCCCCCCCCCCCCCCCCCCCCCCCGCAGTTTGCCCTACCACCTGGGCTCCTGCCACTGGTAGGACCCTCTCGCTCAGGAGTCAGCCGTGCTTGGGTGGGATACCACAAAGCCTGGCTAACTACTGCAGTGTCCACTTGGCCCAGAGAAACTCACAAATCCTGGCTAGTCATTCCACAATGCCTCCTCTCTCCACCTCTCTTCTCCCCTGCTCGGATAGGCACAGGGGGACATCAGCAAGTGTACTACCAAGTAGACTCACTCTGGGGAATGGCATCCCAGTATCCCCTTCTTGAAGTCACCGCTTTATCTCCATGAGGGTCCCAATTAAAGGGTGAGGAGATGGGAATTGTCTTCCACCATAAACACTATACTCTTCAATAAAACCAAAGAACTCCTCCCTCCCCAGGATTATTACATGGGCAAGGAAGAGGAAAGTGAGGTTCTAGCTAGGGGATATAGGACCACTTCTACTCCCTTTATTAAACCTTGGAGGGAAAGTATCTGGCTCCCATTTGGAATGCAGGAAACATAGGCCTATGGGCCATAGTGCCAATTCCTAAGTAACAGGGAACACCCCCCCCCCCAATAACCTTTGGACTGGGCCGTCCCTCATACCTAACTTGATTCCTGAAGAGGACAAGCTTTGTAGCCTGGTGCCCACACAGAGCCCAGGCACATGCTGGATGCTGAACAAATGTTTGTTGAGTGAATGCAAGACCATGAAGTAATGAGACTAAAGGGATCCATCAAGATCCACCTGCTCATTCCCACACTGTTCTGGGTAGCTGCCCATCTCCACCAGATGACTGGGCTCTCTAGCTGGGATTCCCAGACCCAAATGTAGACAAAAATCTTTCCCTTCAGCTCAGCAGAGTTGGGTTGGAATTTATCAAAGGGAACTAGGAAACTCAGGAAAGAACCCAACCAGAAATTAAGGAAACCCAAGAGCCAGCCAAATAGATAGATGAGTTGACAAAGTATAGAAGTTCTTTATCAGGATCTGGTTAAAGCCACTTACTGACTTGCCTGATTCAGATTCCCAGACAAGGAGACCTCAGGTCTGGTCCTCAGCCTTCTTGGGCTCTGATGTCTGGAATAAGAGATGGCTGTCGTTGGGGGAGGGGATCCAAATTCTTTACCATGGCCTCAAGATCCTGCATGATCTGGCTTCTGCTGATCCCTGCCTCTACTCACCCACTTGCTTACTACACCCAGCCGTCCAGGCCTCTCAGTCCCCACCTCAGAGCCTTTCTCTGTTCTCCCTCTGTCTGAAATGCCCCTCCTCCCACTCTTCATCTGCTGACCCTATCTCACCATTAAGGTCTCCTGGCAAATGGCACCTCTTCAGAGAGGCCCTGCCTCATCACCTTATCTAAAGTGAAGTCCTCCACTACCAACCCACCTTCCCCACTACTGTCCTCTCTTGTAGCACCTGTTCTAGTTGGGGTTGTCATTGCAAGCAAGACAGAGCTGGTGAACTTAAAAAGAAGAGTACATTATAGGGAGGGTGTCAGGTGACTCATAGAATTGACAGG